GATTGTGTTGTTCCTTAATCTTGTAACTAGATCCAGCTTATTATTTTTTGAAGACTGTTAGAGCAATTTTATAAAAAGCAAGCTTTAACTTTCGATTATGTAACTTTCAATTATGTCAAAAAGAGTTTCCAATTCTGAAGCTGCCAAAGGATCTACAAAGTGAAAGCATGTTTCGATGTCCATTAAACAAAAAGTGGAATTGCTGCAAAAAATGGATAAAGGCATGAAGAAAGTGACAGAGAGGTGATTTGTTTCTCTGACCATTCCGAAATCTGTTTATCAATTTCACGCTGCTCTGGCATTCCCCCTGATATAAAACATTACAAATATGTAATTGCTTCGGTTTTTGTCCTTGTACATGCAAATTTTTTGTCGTACAATGTTTTGATCATTTGCTACGTACAATCAATTGATCTGAAACTTTGATTGTGGTTTCTGGTGTAGAAAGCAAATAGCCCTTCAGCTAATGCTAGCTGTTCCTCCATTAACAATACATATTCCTTGACGAGACGTAATGACAAGGATTGAGCACCACCGAATAAATCTAACTTGTTACATCACCTAATTTAGTTTACTCTGTATGCATTTTATGTGGTTTTGTATTTCTTTATATTCACTATAATAATTAATAAATAATAGGTAATATGTTTTTACAGTACATTTAAAATAAGAAATGCAGATATTTTCTAAAAAGCGGGGCATTTTTAAAAATTGGCAGGATTGTCCCGCCAAAATTGGGATGTGTGGTCACTTTAGCTTAGCCGCACTTAAACAACTTCTAAGTTGTTGATAATTCTAAACTATAACATGCAGGATAACTAAAAGCATAAAAACGTTAGCCAGAAGATAAGAACAACATAGTTCAATCATTTTTAAAGCAAAAAATGCACAATTTACAACTATATAAGAATTAAGAAACTGAACTCACTGAGACGAATACGTATAGTTATTTGAATTTAACAAACATTCTCTATTTGTAAAAAGCAAATTAAAAGTTAATGAAATTTAATTGCAAACAAATAAATGATCAATTATATGTTTGGAGGCAACTTCCCCTTGATAAGTATGTCTCCTGCCTGCTCAATAATTATTCACTTATGCATTTTAATAATTTTTTAGGATTAAAAAACTTTTTTGGAATATTATATTTATTCATGTATTTTAATACTTGCACTTGATATATATATGCTCTTAGAATTTAAATTGTATGCATATAGTTATATACTTTTGGTGCAGCCAATTGCAACCAAAATAGGAGGACATCTACATGTTATAGCAATCCTACACTATACAAAATTTGAACTTTCTGAGCCTACACGTTTTTGAGTCATGCCGAGATACATGCATGCGTATGTACATACAGACGCCACAAAAAATGCCTTCAGAATCCATTTTAAATCAGTTTTATAATTATTTTTTTTGGGGGGGAAAGAGTCCTTTTTTCTGTCCTTACATATAGGTGTCTTGCAAAAACATCAGTAAATCGCATTTGATAGTGGTCAATAAAAAATTCATGAAATTTAGGAACATATTGTATGCTAATACTAAGAAAAACAGACTTTCTTGTACTTCAAAACAAGAATCATAAAATGAGAAATTCTAAGACAAAAGAAATATTCCACTAATTAAATGATTTTAGCATTTTTTTTTTTTTTTTTTTTTTTTTTTTAAATCTCTACACATATTTGTATGCGGCCCTCATATGAGGAGTTAGGACAAGGGTTAAACACTTTCCTCAAATGGGCAGGTAAGAGAATGAACATTTTTTTACCTGGTTATTTGAATCAGTTTATTGATTTTAAATTGCAGATGATATATACCAGATTTATGTGTAAAGAAAATTCATATGTCATCAAAATGGCAACAGAATAAGATGTTCTGTTGACATTTTATTGAATGGAACCAGTCAAATAATGAACTGGAATTGCAAATGTTTTTGAATTTTTAAATTTGAAATAAAATTATGTTAAAGTATCAGAAATGATTATTTCATTTGAAGAGACACTAGAAATTTTATTTCAGGAACCACTGCAAATAGTTAATTAACTGATAGCCAAATTAACTGATGAAAATCATAAATATCTTTTTAGAAAAGAAATTATAATTGTTAACTTTGAAACTCACCAGGAAGCAGTCTTAAAATGTCTTATTTAAGTAATAAAACACATAATCTTCTCGAATCTACATTTCATTATCAGTGCTATGTAGCCAATTTTTTGGTTTTGATTGATTTCATTGTATTTTCTGCAGCATCAAAACAGTAAACAAACAAAAAAAAAAACAAAAAAAACAAAAAAAAAAAAATGCTTAAATATATATTAATTGATTTATGTTATTACTTTCTTTTGTACATGTCTTATGCAGTTGCATATGACTGAAAGGTATTGTGTATCATTTAAAATTAAGCCAAAACTTAGTTTGGCATGGATTTTAAATAAAACTGTGTTGATTTCCAAGGCAATCAGATGTAGGTCCTTCTTTGTCAGGAGAGGAGGAAAAAATGATTCCAATCTGATTTATCATGTATCAGTTTCTTGTTCACTTTTTCAAAGAGTTATTTGCAGTTGAACGATACATATTGTTCAAGTCTTAATCCTGCTCCTCTTATATCCATATTTAATTTTCCTTCAGACTTACACAGTTAATTACATTGATGATTATTATTGAAACTTAAAATTATTGATAGTTGTAAAGCAAACTGTATCATAGTTTCATTTTCTAGAGTTTAGTATACTATTTTATTAATTTTAAATAGAAATTTTACACGATAAATTCCAAAATCATGTGTAAATAAAAAGTGTTCCTCTTATTCTTCTAAAGTAAAAGTCAAGGAACCCTAGTGAACCATTAAGCAACTTATTGCTTAGTTCATATAACAGAAATTATAAACTCAAGAAGGATTAACTACCTTTTATTTCACTCAAAATAATATGAACAGTTGGCCCCATATCTGAGCTTACAACAAAGCCTCCACTCATCACAATTAAAATACACCTTATATTTCCCTCCCACCAAAATTTAAGTACTGAGAGCTGCCTGGCAGAAGGAATTATTTCTTCCATATAAAATATAAATATTACATGGGCATACAAGGCCTGTGTATAAGCGTAGATATGTTAATTACATACATTGTATTGTACAAGTTGCATGAGATAGATATAATCATGACAGTTATGTGCTTATTTAAACATTATCTGATTCACATTTACAGTAACTTTACTGAGATAATCAAAGTAAACTTGAAATTCAATTACACATTGACTGGATTTTCTACATCATTTTTAACTGCTTTTCAACATTATTTTTAACATATACATGCAAAATGATAGTAATAAGCTTACATTACAATAGTTTTTGCTCTTATAGTCCAGTTACTAGCGACGAGGTATTTTTCTAATGTTAATTTTCAGTTGCTCTAGCTTCTGGATTAAACTGGTTAGGGAGTTACGTGACTCAACTTTCTGGTGCCTTAGCTGATTTGCTGCTATTAAAGTTGTAATACCTATCAAGGGAGTATCTTTATTTCTGGATTTTAAGTATTCGAACAAAACGGTCTCGCAACGACCTTGTTGAGAGTTTTAGATTCTAAAACTTTTGATTTTTCTATTCAGTTACAGTACCAAAATCAAAGTTTTAACTTCTTTTTAGGGCAAACTTTACAAAGTATATAAGGTATTTCTCCTGCCTTCTTAGCATGCCTTTGTAGTGTAGTGGTCAGCACTACACTACAAAGACCACACATTCCAGAGGTCTGTGGTTCGATTCCCGGTGAGGGCATTGCTCATTTTTCATCTTTTCTGCTTCAAAATAACCTAATGTCTCAACGGTGGCGCCTGAACTAAAAGGGTCGGAAATGAGGATTCTGCACACCCAGGATTTGGCTATTCCTACTATTTCTATTTAAATTAATGCTTTGGAATAATTAATAACTTAAAAAAGTTTGTGTTAAGATAAACGTAATTTTTTTGGAGCACCTAAGATGGGTTTTTGATTTGAAAAAATTATGATATTAGAGTTAATTTATCAAATGAAAAGTGAACTTAGATTTAAAAAAATTAAAATTTGAATTTCTGAATGATTATTTGGGTACAAATAATCTGGGTTAAATAAGGTTCGCTTTAACTAGTTTAAAGGTACTTATGTATCATCCTGTTGATTGTGAAACTGTTGCCAAGCTACACAATATAGTGCCATTTATGGATAAGTGTTTCTTAATAGCACACTCATAACATTTGCACTTTCGTTTGATGATTCTCGATTTTGAAAAAAATATCTGTATTATGATTATTATAAGTTGGGCAGCTTCCTTTTGCAAAACAGCAAGCAGTAGATTATTTTCAAAGATTTGGAATCTTACCAGCAAAACAAGTGTGTATTAATAAATCCAATATGATCTTCTGAATGTGGGTGACAAAACAGTAATAGATTTGGAACAATTATCTGAGGGAAGTTTGTACTCATAGACTCCAACAGAAGCGTAGCTAGGGTTTTCAGCCCCTTGGGGACAACTGAAGATTTTGCACCGTTTTCTGTGTGACAAGAATGGAAAACATTTCATTCTAAAATTGCATAACATCAAGTTGGGGCCTCCTGGATGCTGCGCCCGGGGACAGTTGTCCTTCCTTGCTCCACCGTAGCTGTGCCACTGGACTCCAAACAGAACTCTAAATAAAATTAGAAGGCCTAAAAAAATAGTTGAAATTGCTGAAAGCCTTTTTATCAAGTGTAGTAATGAAGTGGTTCAAATTGATTATTAAATAAAGATTCTGATTGTCTATTAAATAAAGTAGCTTCAGTTCCTTCAGAATTCTGCAGGAATAATTGGCACAACTTTGGCGAGATCTCCAACAGGTTTCATGGTTTGATATTAGCCTATTTTCATGGTGGTTGAGATAACCATTTAAATATAATAGAGATAACCATTGTTATTTTACATTTATAAATTTGTATTAATTCACATTTTATCTTTATGCATTTAACTTGTTTATTATCATTTGAAGGTGGCCACAGATGTCCGTATGTGGTTGAGAGAGCAGTCTGTTGTTTTGAAATGCTTACTTTTATCTTTTGTCCGAATATGTTGTGAGAGGGCCAAAAAGTAAGTTATAAGTCATGTCTTTCTTTATTAATACATTACACATAACACAAGCAATGCTTTACTACTGTTGTAAAGATTTTATCTGTATAGTTATTTTACATTTTCTTCTGTTTGCAATGTTTCCGGCATTTGAGGCTGAATTCATTTTGCGTTTGATTTAAATATTCATTTTTTTAAGTATGATATTTTTTTCCATAATTATATATTGCTCTTTTCTGCTTAATTATGTAACTGAATATTTTATCTTTAGATTGCATCTCATTATATTAGTATTGTTCTTCACATATTGTTTAATGAGTATTGTATGCAGTGTTTTGTCATTTTCTATTTAAATATAACTAAAAGCATGTTTCCAACTTGAATGTCACATCTTATTTTCAGTTGTCAGAAAATGCATAATGATTGAGCATTTTAGCTATTATTTTGTGAATTAAAAATAATCGATTATAATTACTGTGTGCTCATGCTTTGAAACTGTTACTGTTATAATGATGAACTTTAAATTATTTAATAATTTTAAGTCACTTCTGTATTTTTTTGCTGTGTGCTCAGAACGTCAGATAAATTACTGATATTTAACTGATGGATACCATAGCATTTCTTCTATCAGTCAAGCAAACTGACACTTGCTGTGAAGTCTGGGTTGAAATCATTATGAAAATGCAGTGTATTTTGTTGTAAAATGAGCTCTGCAATAAGCATACCTTTGTCTTTCAACTGTGTAAACAAAACATAAAAAGGCTCAATTTTTATAGTTTTTCCATTCTTTTAATGTGTGTACCATTTTCTTGTATCTATTCACTTCCTTTTCCAATCTGCTACTGTTACCCATCCAGTGGCCAAAGTCATCAGCTACCTTCTTCATTGCCGTGTCCAGTCTCTTGATTGCCACAATTTTTTTATTCTATTGCTGTAGCCTTCTTTCGCTTCTTGACCATTCTTTCTGTATTTGCATAAGTTGCTAATTCTTAACATCACAGCAATATTTGTCAAATTAGACACATACACATGAGCAATAACAGATGATAAACTGATTCGAATACAATGATAAACTGCACTGCACTGAATGACAGACACGTGACTTATAGTATAGATGATACATAGTCAAGAACTACAACAAAAAAGGACTATATTTGTAGCATGTATCTGGCTGCCATTTGATGCTTTATTTTTGTGATGATATGTCAGATAAACAAAATTCTATTGTAAATCATTACTATTCATTTTTTTAAGTGTATATCTATATAATATATAGTATAGTATCTTATATAATTCACAATTAACTTTATATGTATACATATATTATGTACATGATTAATTTGATAAAAACAAATGGTTGTTTTATTTGTTTTAGTGAAATTGATATACTCATGCCAGGTTATACGCATCTTCAGCGGGCACAACCAATAAGATGGGGACACTGGCTCCTTAGGTAGAAAACTATGCAGTCAGTTTTGATTTTTATGTTGTAAATTACTGGTATTTGCTTTAGATGTATTACATATAACTTTCAGAACATACTCTTCTGTGCTCAAAATTTTGATAGATTTTTTTTTTTTTTTTTTAAATTCTTACTTTCATGTGATTGATTGCTTAAATAATTGTACAAAGCTCTTAAAAACTGTCTGCCTAGAAGGAAACATTTAAATGTTGTGCTGGATATTTTCTTCTGGTTCTTCTGGAGGAAAATCAATTCATCTTTATCTTATATACAAAATACAGAGACAATCACTTAAGTTCGTATTCAGCCATTCCATTCTTCCACTGGCAAATGAATTTGGAATGAAACTATTTCATTCCTAGTTTCAAGATTTAGCCACTTGTGGATAATTTTCTAATTGTTACATTAAAGTTGGTAACTCATTTCTAACAAAATGGTTTGAATATTCAGCAATATGATGCCAAGTAATTTTTTATTAAAATATGATTTTTTTTAGCCAAAAGGGGTTTTAGCCTAGAAGAACTGTTAGTCTCACAATAGGATTTTGCATTGAATCACTAGAAGTGTTGTATCACTTTTCAAATTGTTGCCACCGAATATTATTGTCCTGTATTATATTTAAAGTAATTAAATAATGAAGAATCTACATGAATGTATGTACGTTTCTCGCACTGTAAAAAAAAACAATGGTACCTAGAGCCATCAAATTTTGAATAACTTAGTCTTTTATGCAACTATGAGAACCTGGAAGCCTGAATTTGTTTCATTTTCTATTTCATATTTTGTAAAACCATAAGGAATGTTTGATTAACAAGCTTAACAATTTGAAAGCAAGGAGTGGGCACACTGAACAGATAGAAAAAATATTTTTATATCTAGTGCACGAGACTGTCTATCGGAAATTTTTAAGTTATGCTGTTTTTAAATATTTTTAGCCAACAGAAACATTAACCCAAATGCTCTTGACTTTTATGTGTGTGTAAATGGGGAAAATGCCGCTTTGGGCATAGTATAAAATCTGAAACCTTTCAGATTTTTTTATATTTTGTCTCAAATTAGTCCTGTTTCTAAAATTTTTTATGTTGGCATGAATACAGAGACAGCAATATTCTCCTTCCACAACATTCTGCTTGAGAGATATTGTGGGGGATGACTTGTTAAGTAGTGTTAGGCTGTTCCTTTGGGTTAGGTGGAAAATGTATGTTTAGTCTCTTTCTTGATATCTTTAGTTTCATGCTTTTTGTGATTTTAATATGATGTTAAGTGCTATTTTCTTTTCTTATCTCAATAAATGGGGATATTTTATACATTAAGAGCAAAAGGGGGAAAAAAACATCAGTATCAAATTCAGCACAGGTATGAGAACAATGTAGTTTATTGCATCTCCATAAATCAAATAATTTAAATACAAGGGTGTGTGTTTACTGGCCATTAATGAAATGGTGCCAAAATACAAATGATCATTTCATTTTTGATATTTCTTTAATAAATTCAACTACTCCCACTTCATACAAATCAAATTGTTAACATATAATAATTCAATATCCATACATAAACATCTAATAATAAGCAGATAACATAGTTCGGTTAAAAATAAATATTAAAACAGTTACAGGTCAATCAAAATCGTAAAAACAACCTTGTATTTAGCGTAGGTATAATGAAACACTCAATCGATTGAGTGTTTCATTTTATCTACGCTAAATACAAGGTTGTTTTTACGATTTTGATTGTCACATTAGCGTGTTTCTCTTCTAGTCTAGTTACAGGTCAGTTACATTCTGCTACCATGTTTCAAGAATGACAAGCAAAAGTGTGCGGCCAACACAGGGCATTGAATAGATGTAAATTAATTACAAGAGGTGTGAAAGTAAACATACTGCCACCCTATTAGGCCCAGTTCTGATATATGTAAGTTTATTTGTAGTCTTTTTGAAGACAACAGTTTTAGTTTTGACCATGGCTGTGCAAACTAATCCAGCTTTGCCAGAATGGACGTTGATGACATGCCCTAAAGCCCAGGTTAAAGGTAGAGATCTATCTTTCAGGACAAGAACCACAATGTTGATCTTCAAGTTAGGTTTGGTGTGCTGCCACTTCGATCGCTGCTGAAGAGAAATCAAATATTTGCTATTTCAGCGACTCCCAAATCCATGTTGAAGGTTCTGAATAAGTTCCCACGTAGAACTCATTGTGCAAGCAGGTAGATGTTTGTCTGGAATGGATGTGAAAGTATCACCTGTAATAAAACGTGATGGGTTAAGCATTAATAGAGTCAATATCAAAATTTTTCACGTAAGTGGACACGAATTCAAAATAACCTCAGTCTGGACAAGTAGTGTTGGCATCTTTTCATAGGTCAAAAGAGTCTCTTTCAATACACTTTTCAGATGAAATTTCACTGAGAGAATTCCAACTTCCCATATTTCTGTGAAGTATGGTATAAATTGCCATTCAATTGATGACTGGCTGATTATGTCGCATACAGAGAAGACCGAATGTGATTTAGTTCATAGTTTTTGGCATGCTTCCAAAATATTGGTATCATAGTTACTGTAAATGCTGTATGGTGCATTAAGTGAAATGAAGCATTAAGTGCAGCAGTAAACGAGTCTGCCGTCAGATCATTGGCTGCACATCTTTAGTTGACAAGCAAACAAACAAAGCTGTTTAACCTTTTGTTTTAGAACTATGACCGTTATTGAATTTAAGTGTAAAAGGACCAGCATAGTCCAAATGTGAAAAAAATGTTGTTCCAAAATCACACAATGCTCAGGTAAGATACCCATCAGTTGCAGAGCTGAGGCAGCTTTAAATCGATAACATAATAAATAAGCAGTGGTTAATACAACTGTGTATCAGTCTTTTTCCCCCAATTATCCTGTAGAATTGCCTGATGAGGTGGGATAACAAAGAAGGACCGGCATGAAAGTAAATAATATGATGTTCCTTCAGTAGTAAGTCAGTAAATTTATGTTGAGAAGAAAGTATTACAGGATGTTTGGTGTTAAATGCTAAAGATGAATGTTGAAGACTTCCTCCTACCCATAAGAGAATGCAGAGGGCTGTTCTTGGGTAAATCTGTCTTGCCCTTAATACATTAAAAATCGTTCTGGAAATAAAAACTCTTTAGAATAATAATAATTCTTTAGAATAATAGAGATTCATTAGAATTCCAACGAATAATGATCTTTTCTGCTATTTGAAACTCTAGGAATGTTAATGGTATAAGACAGTTGGAATGAATACTGCTACTCAAAATGTTTTTAATATTAATATTCTTAACAATAAATCATTAGCAGTAAGCCAGAAAGCAAACAATCTTACAACAAGATGAATAGTGTTCAAATAAATTAACCAACAAATCATTCAAATCGCATATGTGAGAAATTAAAATAGGACCAGATCTTTCTCCAGCCTTTACTTTGGTATCATCTTCAGATCTTAATTCATATATAGTCCTGTTTTTCTCATCGTGATGGAGCCATGGTCGACCATCCCACCACAAAGTACATGTCAGTAGAAATTGAAGTTCAATACCCTGACATGCAGTGTCTGCAGGATTTTTCTTTAGAAGGAACAGGATTCCAATGTTTAATAAGTATCATTTTTATGATTGAAGTGTTCTATTTGCAACTAAAGTTTTTCGCTTATATGGATGAGCGGATAGCCAAGATAGAATTGCTTTAAATTCCATCCAAGCATAAATTTCAAAATTAAACTTTTTTAAAGTGTTCAAAAGAGATTGAATTAATCTGGTCCACAAATATGCTGCAAAAAGTTCTAATCAAGGAATAGCTACTTGTTTTTTCTACATCCTATCTGTTAGATAAATTATCAGTAATCGCAGTCATATGATCTAACTGCTCATATTCATACATAAAATCTGTGTTTCTAATTTGGGATTGTCTTTGAATTTTCATTCCATGGAATGCAACCTAGAAATTGCTAGGGGTTTCAAATCACCCACCTTTAGATGTGTTTGATGAATTGGAAGTTTTTAAAAAAATCTTCCGAGTTAAAAGAATAAGTGTTTTGAAAATGTGATTCAGAAAATTGTTATTAATTCAGTTCTCACTTCACAGTAATGCAAAAATGCGTAAAACCTCAAAATATCTCCATTAAAAATTTTAAAATACAGAAAAACAATTTTGACAATTAAAGTTCTGTGCAAAAACAAGCAATTTGACTTGCAGGCAACAAGGCAGATTTTTCGGTGCACAAAACTAAAAGTTTATTTCTGGTCCCATTTGGCAAAGAGACACCGAATTTGGTGCAGAAACTGACTGAATTCATTATTCTGCTAAGTTTCAAATGTAAACAAGTACGGCTGCTATGGCAAACAAAAATTAGGCTTAGCTGCACTTAAACAAGTTTTAAATTATTGATAATTCCACAGTTGCATGCAGATTAACTAAAGGCATAAAAACCTTAACCAGAAGATAAGAATAACATAATTCAATCATTTTTAAAGCAAAAAAATGCACAATTGACCAATATATAAGAATAAAAAAACAACTCACCGAGCCGAGTAACAGATTGAGTATTTTGGTGCATCCGATTGCAACCAAAAAGGGAGGAGCACAACTACATGTTATAGCAGCCCTATACACAAAATTTCAAGTTACTCGTTACTGAAGCTACTCGTTTTTAAGTTATTCAAGATACATACGTATGTATTTACAGAGGTGACGAAAAAATCTCTTCTGAATCCATTTTAAATGTTTTATAATCCGTTTGGGGAAAAAGAGTCCTTTATTCTTTCCTTACATACAGATGTCATGCAAAAAAATCGTTAAATTTCATTCGATAGCGGGCAAAATGGATGTTTTCTTTGAAATATGACAACCGAAATTTTTTGTGATTACAATACTTCCTGTACTTTGTACAAGAAAGTAAAATAGTCAACTCCTAAAATCAAATCAGTTTCTGTGTGGTGAACAAAATTTGGATACGCTAACATAATTAATTTGATATAAACTATATGCTTTATATTAACAGCTTGTTCCTGCAATGGCAATATTGATCTGCCCAAAATATATGTGTTAACATCAATTGTTTTGCTATTTAACCTTGATCCCATTTTTAAACTAATCAAGCTATGAGTCTTGGTGGCTGGCACTCCACCAATTCCATGAAGTGGTAACCTATGATTTCTTCATTTCGATCCTAATATTTGAATAGCTCGTTTCGAAATAAATGAGGATTTACTCCCTGAATGCAATAATAATTTAATTTTGATAATTTCGCCATTTGAGGAAAATGCAAGAATGAGAACCATAGGTAGAATCGCTGAATAGCAATTTTGAACTATATTACTCACAACATGACCTTGTCTCCTGCATTATGCCTTCAAAATCCTCTCTGAAGTGCTTTCATTTTTAGTTGGTGCTTTTAAAAGCTGTTCGTTGTTAGCTTTAGTATCTTCTTGGAACAAACATATGTTTTTCAATGCATGCATGTGTTTTTGAATTACACAAATTTCATTTTAACTGAGAATTACAGTTTTTGATGAGATGGGAATTTAAGCATAAAAAAACAGAATCCTTGGTTTCTCAAACGTTTTAGAACTAACATTACTCCTTTTATAAATGACTTTAGTTTTTGCTTCTTTATTAATAATAATTTCGAGAGAAGAATACATTACATTTAAAAATTCAAAAAATGATTGCAATGTAGGAAAATCTTTTTCTGTTGTTTTCTGTGCCCATAAATTTCAAGTTTTCTAGTCTACCTTTTGAGGCCATATAAATATTAACCATGTTTTCCTAGAGGTTGCTTTGTCACCAAGAGCTTATAAACTATTTTTAACTTCATCCAAAATATCAGCTAATTGCCATAAATTAACATTATCTACCTGTGAAATACATTTTTGATCCTGAAATGTTTTTATTTACGATTTATGTCTTTTTATCATACCTAGCGAGCAATAAATAATGATATATATAGCGAGTAGTGATATATATATAGCATCGATTTTTTTGTTGAAATTTTGATCTGTGATTGAAAACATCCTGAATCCTTTGATCTGTGAAAAACATCCACATTGCTAAGCTTACATAAGGTGGCATGGATTAGATTAATTTTAAGATGACGCATTTTAGATTCCTCTATTATAAACAGTTTGTAATTTTAGGACAAGAAGGGGAAGTAGCCAAATTAAAATGGGGAATAAAAATAATTATCGCCATGTTAAAATCAATATTTTTATTTCATATTTTATATCTTAACACTAACACACATGCACATATATATATGTGTGTATCCACATTTTATTTTAGCTATCTTTATAAATTAACGTCAATTAATTCAAAATAAAAAGATCTACAACAAAATATATTAGCATTTACAGTTGTGGTCGCATATACTTAGTGAGTAACAAATTTGATTAAATAAAAATTCTCAATAAAATTATTAAGTAAAATCTTTTAAATAGTAAATTTATAAGTAAAAAATGCCTAATACTATAAAACATGTAAAAAATAAATAGAAATAAATAAGAACATAAATTTGCAAGAATACAAAGTATTTGAGAATTATCTAAATTTTTAACATCAGAACACTTAAAAAAGCACTTTCTTAATTTAAAGTATGTTAATATTTATAACTTATTGCCTCATTACAAAAATTGTTTTAAATTGCTATCATTGTTTAGTTAATTCAAACTTCTTTTTGAAACCAAATATACTTTATGCATTTTTTATTTGTCAGTTTTGCTTGGTATTTTCATAATGATGCAGACAAACTTGAAGATATTATTTCAAGAATGAATATAAGTCCACTTGGAAGGTATTAGTCCTTTTTCATGCAATTTTTATAGTGATAAATTTATTTGATAAATTTATAAAGAAGGTTAATGCTGTTTTTGTTACAGTGGAGCACTGGCTGGAAACCCATTCCCCATTGACAGAGATTTCTTGGCCAAAGGTAAACAAAAGTAAAAATAAAAATAAAATAAAATAAAATAAAATTACATTAAAAAACATTTATCCAGTATTTGATTAAGTTCTTTCCACCCTAAAAATTTGTTATTTGTATATACTTGGCTCATAAACTGTTACAGGATTTCTAGAAAAACATTGACAGTCTTGAACAATATATAAATTTTCCGTCATATTTACATCTGAATTCACTTAAACAAATATGGTCAGTTATATGGTCTTTATTATTTTCTCTCTATCCTTTATTATTATCTTTTATGAAGATGAAGAAGAAAATAATTCTATTTCTTACATTTTCTTAACAGTTAAAAAAATAGAGCATTATCCAAAAGTTAGTGAAATTTTTAAAATATTTATATTTCACTAATTTTCTATTATTACAACCAGTGATATGCTATCAATGGATAGTTCCCTAACATTCTAAGGATTAACACTGTCAAATATATATTTTACCCAATATTTAAAAGAATAAAAAAGAACACCATTTTAACTCTTTGGAGACAATTATAGCTATTTAAGTAAAGTTGGATTTTCACATGAATGGGAGGAGCTCAGGTTCCATAAACTTTATACAAGGAAAAACTTGTTTATGTTGTTAACTACTGGTGATATGTCCTAAGAAATTTTAACTTTCTTGTTATTCTGTAAACACATTTAATTTAACTTTCAGTATTGTATTCCTTCTGAAAGTGTTCTTGAGATGAAAAAGAAATCAAAATAAAACACATTGGCCCAGTAATTCCAGATTTAAATTACCCAGCAATACAAAAAAACTAGTCTCTACGCAAGGGACATTATGGAGCATGACCTCTGAAATTGTTAGGAGAATATGCTGATCAGTTGTGAGCATCAAAACCCTGTGATCTTAAGTACCTATCTCCATGTTTTTTTAATGATACATTTTCAAAAGAAATCAAAAATGATTAAGAAAGGTAAATCTATTTCATGTATTCTTCCTTGTACAAACACGAAACAGTACATCTGTTGCTCCAAACTGGAATATTATTTATTTCAAAATGATTAAGGATATGCAAACTAAGAAGTAGTGATGGACAACTTCGGTACATTCTTGTACCCGGTACGAGAGTAACGGGTACAGACAAGTACCCGGTACAAAATACCCGTTACTCAAGTAACCATTACTTTGAAAAGTACCAAAAACCGATTTCAAGTACCGAGTACCCAAGTAACGATTTGGAGTACCGAAGTAACAAAATACCGGAGTAACGGTTTGCTGTACCAGAGTACCCTAGTAACGGTTTACTTTACCGGAGTACCCTAGTAACGATTTGGAGTACCGAAGTACGCAGTTAACGATTTTGCGCACTGAAGGAACTCTGCCACGTCACCACGTGTTTTATTTTATCTGTACGGAGTAAGATTTTGAATATCAGAAAACATGTCAGCTACGGAAGGGTCTGAGGAGCAGACCATTCATGGACACAAGGAACGCATATACCATTTCACAAATACAACCAGATACTACTGTCCTCGTACCAAAACCGAAGTGAGCTGAACCCTCATCGATCCTCCAGTAACGAATACCAAAATACCGAGAAGAGACACATATTTTCGTTACAAAGTAACGAATACCAAAAAGCACCCGTTTCGGTACAGAAGTAACGAATACCGAAAAGTATCCGTTTCGGTACAGAAGTAATGAATACCAAAAAGTGCCCGTTTCGGTACAGAAGTAACGAATACCGAAAAGTACCCGTTTCGGTACAGAAGTAATGAATACCGAAAAGTACCGATTTCGGTACTGAAGTAACGGGTACTTGGATGTACCGATTTTCAGTACCCGTTACAAAATACCCGGTTCGGTAGTACCGATTCATCACTACTAAGAAGGAATCTTGTTTTGCTAAACTTTTGTTTTTTTGAAATAAAAATATTTTAAATTAATTAACTATTTTTTATGCTATCCATCAGATTGTAAATAATTTACTTATTACTCGAATTATTATTATTTATTGTGGTCTAACATAATTAAATGAGTGAATTTATGATTTTTTGGCAAGATAGTAGGGTGCTTTGTGTTAAAAGGCAAGTTAGTTTCCTGCAGTCTACCACCTATTCTAATTACTTGAGATTCATTTAAAAGGGTACATGAAAATTTTAACTGACTATTTTTACCTACTTCCCTTTCCTTACTTATTTCCTTGAATTCTTCAGGAAAATCTTGCTGTTGTACAGTGCAAAGTCCAAAATTCGAACTCGTCGGGACTTCAGCGATTCCGGATTATCGATTTTTCCGGATATTAAATCATCAATTTAAATCTGGTAAAATGGCATGCAGAAATTATACAATTAAAAATATGAAATAAAGAACAATTATGATCTAAAGGGTATCAAAATTTACAAAAAAAAGGCTTAATATTTATTTGTTTACTTTATTGAACATTTCTTACAATATAAGTTGTTAAAGTTGCTTCCACAAAAAATTCAAAAAGTTTCTTTTTCTTTTTTTTTTTTTTTTTATGTCATATACAGTTGACTTTCCAACGCCATACTCCTCGTATAATTTTGAGACGGATATGCTTTTATCCATTTTTTGCAGCAATTCCACTTTTTGTTTAATGAATATCGAAACATGGTTTTGCTTTATAAATCCTTTGACAGCTTCAGAACTGGAAATTCTTTTCAACATAATTGAAAGTTCAAGCTTAGTTTTTATAAAATTGCCGTAATAATAACAGTCTGCAAAAAATAATAAGCTGGAACAAATTAGAAGATTAGGGAGCAGCGCAGTCTGCTACATTAACTGAAATATCTTAGAATCAGTAAAGCTAATTTTAGCCTAGCTTAATAGCATCCGTTATACATTATTGGCTGTGTATCACAAGATAGGTGACGAAAGCCAAGTTGTTTCACTAAATTTTGTCTTGCTCCTATTGCGTACTGAATTAAGCCTGAATTGTGTTAGTCTAGTTATTTACTATACCTATGTTTATTTCTTGCACATGCTGAAAACTAATCTGAGTCCTGAATAAATAAACTCTCACATATACTTATGGCTTTATCTTGTGTTGGCGCTCAATACCACCTGGTGCAGTCTCTACGGGTCCGAAATTCTGCTACAAAGCGCTCCCCTAAGTTCTAAATTTTCACTGCGCTTAAACTTTGGATCCCAGTGCTTTCCTTTAAAACCATAAAAAACTGCTCATCCCTTAATTTTGCTGCTCGGTGCTTCCCCAATTTAAAAAACTTTCGTCATCCCTAAATTCTGCCGTCCAGTGCTGACATATTCTGCTGCCGCTTTTGTGTTTATGGTGAGTAACATATCAGTTATTTTTAATTAAAATAACACTAAATAAAATCTTTTGGCTATGAGTTTCATTAACAAATTTTAGCATATGAAAAAAAATTTTTTTTTCAATTTTTCCTCGTCAACATTTTTTAGAGCATTTAAAAATTTATAATCATCGCCAAGCGTAATGTTAGCATAAAAGGTTGCCATACTCTTGTTATTTAATTACTAATATGAAACAAAGTTTAGACATCACTGCAGGATGAGTTATTACTGAAGCTGCAATGTATTGATAAACATGCGGTAATGAAGACTAATTTTACCTACTTCGCTTTCCTTACTTATGCCCTTGAAATCTTCAGGAAAGCTTTGCTGTTGTACTAAGGAAAGCAATTTCCTTTTACTTTATGAAACCTCCTCCATTGTCAGAGTACATAGTTGTTTTTCCTTGGATCTACAATTTCTTATATATCTTAAAACATAAGTAAAAACATTAATTAATTTAGCATAACAATTAGTACTACTAAAAACGTAATCCAAAAGAATTACAGTTACTATCAAATTTATATCAGAAATAAATTTCAGTTCATGCACATAGTTCTCGTTTTATTTTTCCAAGTTGTTATTAACACTGTTATAGTTAATAACCTGTTGATGCAGTAAATTTGGTCCTTGATACTATAAAGAGTTATCAACAATAAATATTTTCTGGAGCGTTATCGAAAATATTCTCAGATCCCAGGAAATTAGGTCAACAGTATTGTCTTTGGTTCTGACATGTTGCCAGGAAAAATCGTTAGTTAGCTCTTGGATACGAGCTACTCTATTTGACACGAATACATTTAGAAGATGAGTAGATGTAGCAATCCAGGTTAACACTATTGTTGAATCTGTGTACAGAATAACATTGTTAATTTGTAAACTCAAAGATGTTTTTACCTTACACATAAGTTTAGAAAAGAGCTCTGCTACATACAACTCTAGACGAGGAATGGTCAATAGGTGATATTTGAGATTTGTTGCAAAACAAAGTAACTTTAACTTCGCTAGTTTCAGAGGCACAGTGCAGGTAAATAACTCCACCATATTCAAACTTTAAACATCAGCAAAACAGTGGAGCTCAGTTTGTTTAGTTGATTTTATTAGAGTTTTACGAGGGATATTGCTTTGTCTTAACTCTGGTAAAGCACTTTGAAATGTCTCCCACTCTTGTTGCTGTTTGAAAGGAAGTGTATCATCCTGCTCTAGATGTAAAAGCCACAGCCTTTGCAGAAACATCTTAGCACACATGATTACAGGTCCTAGGAAACCTAAAAGATAAAACAGTTTAGCAATATCTGCCAAAACTGAATGTTTAATACAGATGTTAGATGAACTAGACATAGTAAAAGAGTCTTCTTCTGGATTCCATCTTAATCCTAGAGTTTTTATGGTGCCTTGTGAAGATTCTTCAAAATGATACTCTTGTTTTTCAAATGGAACTTGTTCTAGAAGAATTCCTTCGTTTGAGCACCACTTGTGCGATTCCGTTTTTTCAGATTGTAGTATGGCTATTAACTGTTGTTGCAATTCTATAGCAGAGGTGACATCCTTTGCACTAGACAAAATGTCATCAACATAAAAATCATTGAGTGTCATTTCAGAAGCTAATGGGTACTTATCCTTTTTGTCTATGGCTAATTGCCTCAAAACTCTTGTTGCTAAAAAAAGGTGCTGATTTTGTTCTGTATGTTACGGTGAGTAATTGATAAAGTTTAAATGCATCATTTTTCGTATTTTTCCAAAGAATGTACTGAAGTTTACATTGCTCAAGATTTATACAAATCTGCCGATAGACTTTGCATATATCAGCAGTGAAAGCCACCTTGTGTTTTCTAAATCGTAGCAGGATAGAGAACAGCAGTCGCGCTACACCTCCGTTCATCAAGCAGTCGTTTAATGAAAAACCAGACGTGAAGGTGCTGAAGTGTCAAATACCACTCGTAAATTTATTGTACTGCTCTCTGCTGTATAGGCACCATGATGGGGCATTATGTATTTAGGAGTTTCCAACACATTCTTCATTTTTTGCATATGCCCTAATGCTTCATATTAACTTATGAATTCACAGTACGTCTTAGATATGTCAAGAATTTTCTTTAGTCTCTTCCATAAATTGTCTAACCATTGTGTGGCCAGTTGTGAAGAGTCACCCAACTGTGCATCTTGCTTTAATTGTAGAGTCACTACAAATCTACCCTTGATATACCGATGATGGGTTTTTCCAAAATGATCCTCACATTCTACCTTATTTTTTTATTTTGAGAGATTCTGTAACAGCCTGAGTTTCCCAAAAAGACTTGATTAGCGAATTTAAGTCTTCAACTTTCATAAATCTACACTGAATCTTATTTTTTGAATTTGAATTGTCAAAATTTACTCCATTTTTTTGGACAATCCATGTATGTGACCTAACATACATAGTAATATTTATTTCTATCAGCCATATAACATTTTATGTAGATAACAGATAATGCTTTGTGATAAATAATTTTTGCATTCAATTGTTATTTAGAAATAATACATTAAATCTTAAGCATTTACAGTTATATATTTTATAGTGTTTGCTATAATATAATTGAAATCTTATCTGTATCACATAAAAGTACATCAACTTTCATAATAAAAGAATTTTGTATTTTTTCCTTTGAGATTCCTTTCCAAAATTGACTCTTTAACATGAAAATCTAAAATTTAATGTTACATTCATAACCAAAAAGTGTTGCTTTTCACCATAAAATATGTTAAATGTAAATATAAATGTTTCTATTAATGTTGCAGTCTCATAATCATGCTTTTCTTTAATAGAGCTTGGTTTTTCTGGTTGCATTCCAAACAGTTTAGTTGCTGTCAGTGATAGAGATTTCATAGGTATGTAAATTTCATGTTACTCCTAAGCTGATTGTTGATTTAATTAAGACATAGAATGCAAGAGCTTACCTGCCAAAGGCAGGATGTCTTCAGGCAAGTTTTTTTTTTTTTTTTTTTTTTTTTTTTTTTTTTTTTTTTTAAGGCAAACCAGCTTGATTTAGGTTACTCATGGAAATAGTTACAAAAATTCCATGCAGCTATTTGCAGCAAAGAACCTGGGATGAATTGTCTTGTATTTGGCTTTGACATCATCCATTGATAGGTGAAAGTAAGTGTATTTCAGTATGGAAACAGCATAGCACAATATGTACTTGTATAAACAGATATGCCAAAAATACTTTTTTTTTTTTACCCCCAGAAAAGAAAGATTTATTTTCAGAAATGTATGTAACCCTTGCATTTTTTGTTCAGATTTAAGCATTTTGTAAACTCCATCCCCAAATTTAAGTAAATAAAAAGAACTCCAAAGTTTTCTTTTTAATTTTTTATTTTATTTACTATGATTGTTATATTTATGATATTTCAAGACTTTTCACTGGAATAATGATGGCTGTTTTTATAAGAAGGCTAAAATTTTGTCCAGTTGTATTAATTGTAAAAAAGGTTAGTTTTAAATATGTTCTTGGCCCATAGATGACGCCACTGTTTTTTTATATTCTATAACTGTGCACTCCAATAAAACTTCACTTGTGTTCATGTTGTGTGTTATTTATTCTCATGCATGCAAGTATCCACTCTCTGCTATATTGAGTTTCTAATAGGTTATGGGCCCAGGCCAGATTAAGAAATGAGGATAAATAATCTAATGACTAGTTAAGTTTGTTTGTTTATTTAATTCTATTTGTAAATTTTTAGAATTACTTCAACCAGAATTGACTACATGGTTATGTTAGGAATAGCCAAAGCACATGGTTGCAAAAGCTTAACTAGTACAAATATTTTTTACTGTTAATTATTTGGGCAAATGTTTCTTTGAGAATAAAATTAATTCAATAGAAAATTTATTTGAATTTATCTCAAATTATAATTTTTTTGTCTCTTGTTGATTAAAGTTAAAAAAAAGAAAAATGCCAGGGGGAGAAGGTTCATTTAGTCACAAACAATTGAGTGGGAGGGAAAATTACATGGATTGGAAATTTTCCATGAAAATGCATCTTATTAAATTGGATTTATGGGCTTATGTAGAGGGTACAAAAGAAGATCCAGTAAAGGATACCAAAGCTCTGTCATATATAGTTGAAGGGGTACAAGATCTGAAATTAATAATTAAAAATCTTCATTCCTTCCTTGAACATAATGAATTTGCTAAGAATGCCATAAGACTTCTACATACATTAAAGAATGTTACTTTGTGGAATCTGATTAAAGTCGTGGATGAAAATTTTAGCTGTTTACAAATCATCAAAGACCTAATTATTGACTTCTGCAATTATAAACTAAAAAATAGCAATTTTTTTCACAAAAGACTGTTTTGTACGGTACAATTCAAACACCCTTCTTATGATCAACTAAAAATACCTAACATTTTTAAAAAATATCAACACTTGCTTCCTGAACAACAACTCTGAATTAAGCCCTGCTTTAAATTTGAAAAGAACTTAGGTCAACCCGTCATCAACCACCACAAGATTCAAGAAAATAGCATGTGTCATTGGCAACAGCCTTTTTACCAAAAATATGTCGATCCTTTCCACCAACATGTTATAACAGGAGATCTTAACATCATTGAAGGCTTAGAATTACGAGACCGTTTACAACTTGGCACCAAATTTCGTCCTACTTTTAGTATCAATAAACATTTTTGCCTCAGACAATTCAATCAAGATCTTGATAAATTTATCATGTTAGTTAGTAATAAATCCAGTTTACCTACTACCACTTTTCTTGAATGGAAAGCTGCACTGATTACAGAATTTCAACATTCACTCTTGAAGGCACCTTCTTTCTACTCTCTACACAATAAGAAATGACTCTTTGATCTAATCAACAAACTGCAAGATAATTTTATCATTACAAAAATTGACAAAGCTAGCAACAATTTTAGTGTTCTCTGAAAAAAGTTTTATTTCGACCTTCTGCACAAAGAACTAAATAGTAATGGCACTTACCAAAAAATTACCACCAACACCAAAATTCTTATCAATAAATTTAACGCACTACATAAAAGACTTAAGATACATCCACGGAACTATAATAACAGATTTGCAAATCTCTATGCCCTTCCAAAATTTCATAAGTCACCTATTAAATTCAGGTTCATTGCCAATAGTACCAAAAGTTATCTTAAAGAAATAGATTATCTTTTTGCAAAAAAAAAACTTCGTTTAATACGTGACTTGATTAATAACTATGATTTTCAAGATCTGCATTGCAACTGGATGATTTCAAGTAACGAACTCGTAATTAAGACAATTAATTCAATTAAAATTGACCATATACAATGCTACGATTTCGAAAACCTTTATACTACCTTACCGCTTGAAGAAATTTATACCAGCTTACTTGCTCTACCAGATATAATTCCTCAGATTTCTACAATAATTGATAACGAAAAATGGCAACTTTATCTTACGAGCATGCTTTTCAATAATTATATTCTCTTTAACAATAGCATCTTCAAACAAATTCAAGGGATCCCAATGGGTGGAAATTTTTCGAGCTCCGTCTGCGAATTATTCCTTTTCACAAGAGAATTGACATTTGTCCGATCTCTGAACGTAGCAGAACATAAATTTTATCAACACATTTATCGTTACATTGATGATATCATAGCCTTTAACAACCATAACAAAATAGAAGCAGCTAATATCTACCCAACTAGCTTAAAGCTAAATAAAACAAATACGGTGCAAAATAATGTAGTATACCTTGACCTTAATATCATTGATTACAATTTTATTAAAGTCTACGACAAGAGGAGAGAATTCACTTTTTCTACACTAAAGTTAACAAACTGGAATTCTAATATTTCCAAAAGAATCATCATTAACACAATTTTTTCACAGCTTCTTAGAATAAAAAGGATCTGTAATACTACAGAACACTTACAAGAAGAAATACTTTGTACTGTTATTACTTCGTCACAATTTTGAAAAATAACCAAATTCCTCAAAAAAATAATTAAAAATACTTTAAAAAAAGCTGGCATTAGCCTTACCAATTTTTAGATTTTTTAAAAAATTTGTTTGGAAAACAAATAATGAAATTTTTTGCTTAAAGCCTACCGGAAGGCAAATGATGGATGGCTAATTCAGATTATCTAATGTAAAAATTGTATAAATGTACAGTTAATTCTTCTACAAACATTTTCTTTCCTCCAAAGATTTTGGCACTTTACTTTAATACTATTATGTAATAGTTTTAAATTACTTAGAAGGCCAAACTCTGCTTTTATTAACAAATCGGGCCTTTTCATTTTTCATAGTAGCTTGACAGCCCTCTAGCTTGAAGAATGACGACTTTTATTAACAAATGATTTTTTTTTTTCCAATTTACACTTTCTTTTGAGGCCAAAAATAAGTAATTTTAGCTGAATTAGCCATTTTCACTTATTTTTAACAGTTTTGTTCTTCTTACAACTTGACTGACGCCATTTTGTGTTCTTTCCGTGTGTTTTCTCATCTGTCACCCCCTTCTGTAAAAAAAAGGAGGGACAAGACTTCCCGCCAACCTACAATCTCAGCCCATTGGCCTCTTCAGATTTTATAGCTTCGCACGACGACGTCACATTACGATAAGGAAGGTTGGCTTAGGCAAGAAGGGATTATGCGCCCTTTTCCAAAAATATTTCGAAAGCTGAGGACGGAACCTCTCAGGTCAGTTTTTTCGTTTCTATTGTCTAGGTTTTTGGTCCTAATAAGACCCTGCGACGTTTTTTTACTTACAAAATTGATTACATTTTTATTTGTTTACAGCACCATTCTTCTAATAAAAGTTACATATTCTTTAAGGTTTAAAGGACCAGCCCGTACGTTGTTGTGATTTTTGACTAATAGCAGACCGCTATTTATTTTATTTTATTATTTTTCTACTTTGATTTTTATTTTTATTTTACATTGCTCGGAATTATAATAGCTTTTGACACCTTAATGTGTTTTTCAGCGGACGCGTCGGGAAAAAGGAACAGAGCAGTGGAGCTACAAAAAAGGATTTATTCCAAAAAATTTTTTCGGAAATACTAATGTTCTTTTGAAAAATTTTTTCGCATTAAACAAGAGCTTCAATGGTCTGTTTCGGCGAAACGCGTAATGGTATTTAACCTATTTCGTAAAACAGTTTTTTTCCCTTGAAAAGCCAACTGAGAGTACGAGTGGGTTAATTTACCATTTTTCCGCTATTTAATTATTGTTTATTGTAAATTGTATTGATGCATTTTGTGTCTTCATTTTAATTTTAATTTTAGTATAGGCATTTTATATATTGGCAATTTTTAATTTTAATTTTTTATGTTTAGGCATTTTATATATATTGACATTTTATAATCTATGTTTTTATACCTTCCTTATATATATATTTTTTTTTTCCGTCGATCTATTTTTCATGTGAGTTAACTTTTCACATTTCACAACGGTCAGATTAATTAATTTTTTAGTGCATTAGCAAGTCTTCCAGCACTAAATTTGGCAGTTTTATCGCGTATTTACAGTTTTTCCAGACAAATTTCTTATTATTTGTGTAGTACTGTGTTACAATATTTCGTGGAGCTACAACTCCTGGTAACTTTTTAGCAAGTTCGCAGCAATGTTCCTACCTACTGCTATTCTTTCAAATTATTTTCAATGATATAAGGGATTTAACAAGTGGAAAGGAAGCTTGGAAAGTATTAGCTGAAACATATGAGGATAAGGGAATCACAAGAAAGGTTTCAATAATTAAAACATTAGTGAATACCCGTTATACTGATTGTAAGGATATGTCTGACTATTTACATAGGGCCATTTCAGCTTATCAGCAGTTAAAATCTACTGGTGTTAAACCTGATGAAGAATTAATTGCAGGAA